TTCTCTAAAACACAAATATGTACATTCATGCTGCTCACATATTATTGTAGCCTAGTTTGTGCTGAATACAGTGTTAGTAGTCTTTAGCCATTAATATGTTTTTAGATACTGAAAAAAAAAAAAAAATGTCAGGGCATGTCAAAACTTCTCCAGGGCCCCAAAACACCCTCAGACCCCAGAGGGTTAAGCCAAGGCAACCGTGCCTAGTGTGAGTACACCCTTAAATGTGGTGATTGACCCTCAAAGCCCAGTTCTATTGACTAGTGTGATCGCTCTGTACCGCGCTCAGGCACGATTCGTTTAGCCATCCCTGGCTCACTTGGAAGAGGTGGGCCAGAGCACGGTTCAGTTGGGCTCAGGCACTGCATTGTTTTACGGTGCTAAATTTCCTACACCTTCTACCTTATTTTATTTATTCTCAGGTTAGGTAAAGTAAGTCAAATCTGTCCTATGTCATAAGCATCTAAGTTCATACTTACAAAATAGGTCACAGAAGATTTCTCCCTGGTCTGTTCTGGCTTAGCTATAGCCTAAATCAAAGTCAGGAGAGGCAGACTTGTGTTATATAAATACAAGTCAGTTGTTGCGTTAAAATTTTCTAAACAATTTTATGTATTTATGTATGTATGTATTGTTTTAAGGTGCCAGATTTCCTACACCTTCTACCTTATTTTGTTTATTCTCAGGTTAGGTAAAGTCAAATCTGTCCTATCGCATAAGCATCTGAGTTCATACTTACAAAACAGGTCACAGAAGACCTCTCCGTGGTCTGTATTGGCTTAGCTATAAATCAATGCCAGGGGAGGCAGACTTGTGTTATATAAATACAAGTCAGTTTATTTATTACAATTAATAAGTAAGCATTACAAATATTCTACAACTACGTATACAAGTATTAAATAAAGTATAAATATCAAAAAGTTCCTTGCTCAAGGCAATATCAGTGATGGTTCTGGTGCCGGAGAAGCTCTTCAGGTGTTCCTGAAGCAGCATCTGATTTAATCATCGCACTTCAGTCTTTTATAGACAGCCGGTGGATCCCAATGTCCTGTGACGTCATGAGTACTGGAAATCCCCTAAGAAGTTTCTTATAAAAGGCCTTCTATTTTCTCATTTTTCTTCTTCGGGATTCTTTGCTCTGTTGTCTTTTATGCTTTCTTCTGAAACACACCAGCTGAGGTAATGCTTTTAAAAAAAAAAAGAAGCTATTGCTACTACATGTGGCATCTCCAGCTATGCTCTTGCTTTTAAATGTTGTAAACATTTTCTTAATAAATGCTTAAAACAACAAGTGTGGTGTTTTACTTAATAAACCACTTTCTTAATAAAACAATTTCAATACCATGATTGGTGTCTTTCTTAATAAACCTCCTTCTTAATAAAACAAATCCAATAACGTGTGGTGTCTTTCTTAATAAACCACTTTCTTAATAAAACAATTCCAATAACAATTGTATTTGGCAACTTACAATACAAAGTTATTACATAAAAAGAAAAGGCATACTTGCAATAGGACAATTGCATAATTTCCTCTACAACATGCAGCAGTTACATACTAGCCTGTACGAGGCCTTTCCAGAAAAAAAAAAAAAAAAAATACAACCTTAGACATAATATATTAACTAAATACATCAAACAATGAGGCAGGGTAATTGTATTCCTACGCATATTACGCAACAGCATGTAGTGTGAGCGATAACCGCACCCGAGCGTGGAACTTCTGATACGTGCAGTACAATATAACTATACACTATAAACAAAACGATGCACTCCACTGTGCTGAGCGAGAGTGCTTCTCTGCTGTCTTCTTGTGCTATCGGAAACTTATTTCCCACTTATGAAGTCGTGATTACGAGCTTGTTGCATTCAAGTGATTTGTTTTCAGAAAGAATAAAATGTAATATGTTGATATCATTGGTTGATAACCATAAGCATTCACCGTGCTAGAAATGCATGCTGATGATTCAGGAATTTCGGTCAAATACATGCTTATTTCACTGTTTATAATACATACAATATGCTTCAAATGCCTATTTATATATAGACACTACTTTAACGACAGGACAAGGTAATGTAGTTGCTGTTGACAAAAAAAGGATTTACACTTTATTTTGATAGTCCATTTTAGACATTCTATAAGTAACTTTGCAACTACATGTCAACTAATTCTCATTAATTTGCATGTTTACTAACTCTCAGAGTAGACTGCTAGGTTAGGTTTAGGGTTAGAAGAATAAGTTGACATATACTTGCAAAGTTTCTTATAGTCAGTATGTTGTGCACTCATCAAAATAATGTGTTAGAAGATATTAAGCAGACAGTCTACTAATACTCTAATGACTGCTAGTTGACGTAGTTGCAAAGTTACTACCTGTTAGTAGAATGTCTAGAGAGGACTATCAAAATAAAGTGTTACCAAAAAGATAATAAAGAGTAGCATTGACAGCAGCAATCGCTGTCCCCTCCAACATGTTTAAGGTTTATGGCCCACCTAATTCGGAAATTCGTGTAACAAAATAAACTCCAAATAGTAAATATGACTTGAGAGGCCATTCATGTCCAGTTTCTGATAAGGAAACTCGTATTTATGATAATTCTGATTGCACTTGAAGGCAGCATAAGTGTGCTCCAGCCCGGAATGTAAAGGCCAGCGGGGCAGTGAAGAGGGGGGACAATCGCGCTCTGGCTCGCTTCAAGGCAACTGTGCCTAGTGAGTAAGCTACACAAGAAACAATATTGAGGCGCAAAATTGAGCTAACCAATCAAAAGACTGTGTATGTTTAGATAGATGTATCTACATACTGTCAGACTCTGTTCCGTGTTTTGTGGTTGTTTTCCTCATGTGCCTTCCTTTCCCATGTTTAATTTATCCCAGGTGTTTCCCTTGATTGTTTCATTGCTCCCAGGTGTGTCTCGTCATCCCCTCCTCCTGTGGCCTCCCGAGTCCCCTGCTCCGCCTTGGCCTCCCGAGTCCCCTGCTCCGCCATGGCACCCGGAACGGGTACAGCTGTCCCGTGTCTGTCCTGAGGGACCTCCAGAGTGCCCAACCCCCCCTCCCCATTGGATGTTATATGGCGTGAGGACACGCCTTCCAGAGGGGGGGGTTATGTCAGACTCTGTTCCGTGTTTTGTGGTTGTTTTCCTCATGTGCCTTCCTTTCCCATGTTTAATTTGTCCCAGGTGTTTCCCATGATGTTTAATTGCTCCCAGGTGTGTCTCGTCATCCCCTCCTCCTGTGTGTATAAATAGTGTTCCCTGTGTGTGCTCCAGCGTCCGGTATTGTTTGTGTCTACAGTGCTACGTGTGATTTCCCCGTGAAGATTAATAAATTCCTTGGTTTCTGTACTCTTGGTCTCCTCGTTCCTTGCTCCGTGTTCCCGCACCGTAGCAGATCGTGACACATACTGTATGTAGATATCTTTCACTTGCTGTAAGTGTTTTTAAGTAATAAATGGAAAGCAAAGTTAGGATATGTTTGTATTGCTACATTCTATTTTCTCCATGGATCTCAAATTTGATTTAGTGGTTTTGACTATTCATTAAATATCAATGGCTAAAAAGTAACTAGAACTCTGAGTAGTTTTTGAAAGGGGTACTTTGTACTTTTACTTTATTTTTTTTAACCCCTGTAATTTTACTTGTAATTGAGTAGCTATTGTTTCAGCAATGTAACCGTACTTGTACTTGAGTACAAATTTTCAGTATTCTTTCCACCACTGACAGAGATGAACTGTCTGTGCGGAAGCTCTTCCATGAGATTTGCAGACCTCATGCATAATGCAGCACAGTGATTGGATCATAAGACTGAGAAAAGCTCAGAAAACTGATGACGTAGACACATACTCTGCAGCCATGGCTGCCAATCACCACTCCAAATTACGCATATACATCACTTTTCTTGACGTTGGTTCAACTTTGCTTTTTGAACCAGATGAACGAAAGAAAAAAAAAATACTATAACTACATATGTAACTATGCCCACTTAACATTTTATACTTAACATTTTTGCAGATTAAAGAAAAAAAGCAAGCACATACATAGCTTTCATATTATGCTTATACTTACTCCAAAGTGTAATTTCTCCCCACACAAATTATTTCTAAATAAAATACCCTAAAATGAATAGTAATAATTATAATAATAAATTCAATAATCTACTTTAACAATATACAAGTGCCACACATAGTTGCAAATGTAACATTGCTTAAAGGTATTCTTACACACTCTTCTATGACATTCTCTCTCCCAACCCTATGTTTGGTAATTACTTTATTAGACATCAAAAGTGTGATAACATGTATATTACAAGTGTATTCATGGATAAGCTTCATACAAAACGATACAGACATCACTACATCTTCAAAGATTTTCTCAGAAGAGTTGCAAGAGATACTTTTCCATTTTTTTTCCTAAAATGAAACAACATCACTTTAAAATAATGAATGACATATCCATCTAAATAATTCCTTCGGTCAAAATTTGGAAAATTTCTTGTCAATTCTGTGAGAATGACATTGAAAACACATTTTCTTTGTCTGTAACCATTCAAAGCTTTTCTGGTCTTAGTTGTGCAGGAAATAATATTGATGGAACACTCTTTTCCTCATTTTGTAAACAAAACTCCAAATTCCTGTTTTGTCCAGCTCTCTCTTAGTGATTCTCTTGGAAGACAGTTGCCCCTTTTGACACCTTTGTGTTGATGTAACCTGTCTCATCAATAGATGACATATAAACTTTTCTTTATCTCATATTAACCTCAAGAACTTGATTCAAGTGTAAAATATTAGTCGGGAAAAGATAAATGAACAGCCAGAGACCAGCATGTTATAATACTTATGCCTGTGACCTCCAGTCCTGCTCTAAGTGCAAGTGCAGTCTCATGTTGACCACAAACAAGTAATGATTACCTATTTAGATTTTTAAGTGCTTTACTTTGTCCTGTTCATACTGTCCATCTGAAATTGACCCGAAAAGACAGTCACAGTCTTCATTTTTCCACTATGGCAACTGAAAAGGACAGTTCACCTGACAAGCTAAAACTGAAGACTGAAGTAGGGCTGCTGGGTGGAGTGTCTCTCATTGCAGGCGTTATGGTTGGATCTGGAATCTTCATGTCTCCTCAGTATGTGCTGATTTATATAGGTAGTCCAGGTGCAAGTCTGTTAATATGGGCTGCTAGTGGATTGTTGGCCATGCTAGCTTCTTTGTGCTATGCTGAATTAGGAACTGTGATCCGTGAATCTGGAGGAGAGTATATTTACATCTTGCGCACTTCAGGAAATATCATGGCTTTTATATGCGCCTTCACCAATAACATTGTGTTGAGACCAACCAGCATGATTGCAGTGGCACTGATTTTTGCCCAAAATGCCCTTACACCTTTTTATGATGATTGCCCACCACCAAATGGAGCAGTAAAATGTTTGGCAGCCCTAGGGATTATGGTATTGACAGTTGTCAACTGCTTTAATGTGCGCTCCTCAATCACAGTCACAGTAATATTTACAGCTATGAAAGTACTGGCACTTATAATAATTATGATTGGAGGAGTTGTGCTACTTATTCAAGGGGACACCTCGAACAACCTCCAAAACTTCTTTGAAGGGACCAAGCTGAGCATCAGGCCCATGGGAATAGCATTTTACCAGTGTTTGTGGTCCTATGATGGCTGGAATACTTTAAACTATGTTACTGAGGAGATCAATCATCCTGAGGTAATTATGTCCTCAATATTTTCCACTGTGACAATAGTTTTACACATAAAGTGACAAAAAGATCTATATCCCAACCAGTTGGCTCAAAATAACCCAGCATGTGTTCTGTCCAATATTTACCCTGCGCTGGGTTTTCAAATAACCCAAGTTGTGTTGTTTTTAACCCAGCATTTTTATAGTGTACAAGCTTTTCTGAAGATCCAGGACTTCATGAAATTGCATCTATAACACTTTACTGGCATATTAACAGTGATAATGTCAATAATATTTTGTAATATTTTTGATATTTTGACTTTTTTATAAGATTTTTATGTCATAATTATTCAACCCCTATTCAACATTGCTGATTTTTAGTCACTTATTTGTATGGTGGGGAACAAAATTGTCTTGAAACACAATTAAACCTTTAGAAACTCTATTAGAAAACATAATTAGCTTTAGCTGTTACACATACATACAATAGCCCATGCATTTGCTGAAGTTGAGTAGCAAATATGACAAGTCAACAGAGCACTCATAAAAGCTATAGAGAAGCTATAGTGAAGAAATAGTTTTATTAATTTAGAAAGTCTACATGAAGATTTCCAAGTCATTAAAAATTCCCAGAGACACAGCTGGTAGCCTTATTCCTTAACTTAAAATGTGTTGTACCGGAAAACCTTTGAGGGTGTTGAAGAAAAAGCACAATATCATAAAATATTTGATCACAGCAACTGAGGAAAAACCTGCAATGCACTGCCAAAGACTTGAAAGATGACCTGATGAAAGGAGGAAAAACATATATATATATAAAGAAAAGCAAGTAGATAGAATAGGAAAAATAGAAAGCTAGTTTTTTTTTATAAAAAAAGAAGATAAATAGATAAAGTAGAATTAAAATAGAATAGAAAGTGCTAGAGTTAGAGGGTCAAATAAAGATGGAACAGATGTGTTTTCAGTCGTTTCTTGAAGATGGCTAAGGACTCATCTACTCGGATTGAGTTGGGCAGATCATTCCACCAGGAGGGAACAGTTAAAAAAAACAGTTAATGTAAAAGTCCTTGAAAGTGATTTTGTGCCTCTTTCAGATCTTTTATGGAGTGATTTGACCGAATTAGAACTTTTTGGATCCATGAATCAGTCGTATGTCTGGTCCAAAAAAGGCAAAGCTAATGAGCAGAAGAAAACCATCTCCATGGTCAAATATGGAGAAGGACCAGTCTTGTTATGGGGGTGTTTTACTGTTGCAGGAAGTGGAAATCATGACTGTATGAAGGACATCATGGATTCTTTGACGTATCAGGCCATTTTGGCAAGAATTGTGATGCCTTTGGTGCAAAGACTGAAGATGATGATCAGTGGACTTTCTTGCAGGACAATCATCCCAAAGTATACATCCAAATCTGCTTATGCTTGGTTAGGGACCAGTCATAGAATGTTCTTGAGTGGCCTGTTAAGTCTCTAGATTTAATTGTCATTGAAAATATTTTGTTGAATTTGAAGAAAGCAGTGGCAATGTGAAAGTCAAAGATTATCAGTGATCTGAAAGCTTTTTCAGGCGAGGAATGGGCGAAGATTGCAGTAGAGAGGTGACAGAAGCATCTAAGCACCCCCAAGCAGTGTTTATTGGTGGTTTTAAACAATAAAAGAATTTTGACTTTTGGGAGTTGAATAATTTTGAACATGAATGTTTAGAGCCAGTTTGATTTTTCTCTGGAACACTGGAACATTTCTTTTTATGACAATTATCCACAACATGTGCAGCTTTAAAAAAAACACAGATTTTTTTTCTTCTGCTTTTCAGGTGGTTGACGTGACATATTTTCCGACGTGTGCTCTTTGTCCGCTGGTGGGAGTGTGCTCACCTGTGTAGGGCCCTATGAAATCCATTTAATTTTTTTCCAAATTTCGTTTTTTCCATTTTAATTTTTCTGGACTCCTTTTTAATGGTTAAATTAAATTTTATTAAGCAAAAAGCATTTCTAATTAATTCAAATTATGAAACTTATACAATTTCTTATCAAATTATTAAAAGTTTAACAAAAACTACATACTTAGGGCCCTATGAAATGTTTTATTTTTTCTCAGCATATGTTTTATTGTTACCAACTTTAGCATATCTAAGCATTTGAATGCATAAAACAACTTAATTTATTCAAATTATTTTATTTTATCTTATTTATTCTTAAAATATCCTTATGAAATGTTTTTGATTGTTTGTTTTTTTCCTCAGAAATTCTGTGTTATGAATGTAAATTTTTCTGGTCATCAAATGAAGGCATTAAACATTAATTTAATTTATCTTTTAATTATTGAAAATTAAACAGACTTTATTATTGGCAAACAAAGGGGGTTTACTATTAACATAAACATGGAAGAAATGTTGTGTGATTGTTCCCTAAAAAATAAAGTTTTAATAATTTTAGTAGTAGTACTATAGTAGTATTAGTAGTATTATGTATACATTCTACTAAACAGCCTATATATACAGGGCCAGAGTGGGACTCATTTTCAGCCCTGAAGTTTCATGCCTTAGACCGGCCCACTTTAGTTCACGACTGACTATAGGCCTATTAAAATAATGTAATTTAAACCTCAGTATATAGGCCTACCAGGGCCGGACTGGGATGCAATTTCAGGCCGGGAAATCTCACACTCATCCAGGCCAGACAGAAAAAAAAGGGGGCCAAAATTGTACCTTTTGGGGTACAACCGTTTGTCACTGGAGCTGTACCCTTAAAAGGACATCTTTGTATCTTTTTTTTTATCCCTAATAGGTACATATTAGTACCTTAAGGGTACGAATTACTACTCTAAGGTACTAATATGTACCTATTAGGGGTAAAAAAGGGGTAAAAAAGGTAAAAAAGGTACAAAGTCATTTATATTTAAAGTCATTTATATTTAATATATTTCATACAAATATATTAAAACACATTTTCTAAGTGCCTATATATCAAAATTAGTACAATATATTTATTGAAAAATCCTAATACTGAACACACTATTGCATTATTAGGCTGTGTGACTCATATTTTTGTGTTGCTGTCTGCTCTAGTTCCCTCCCAGACTAATAAATCCATGTGAATATCTGTCTGCTAAATTTATTCATGTTAGTTTACAATCGATGATGTCCTTTAGCACAGTATTCTGACTGATGATAATAATGGATGCAGCGCTCTTTGCTGGCATTCTGCCAAACCATGCATGCAGCAGCCGCTGGCTTTAGTTAAAAATAACAGTGTTCTGTGAATGTTGACGCATTAATAACAAATAATTATCGGGAGCGTGTATGCTGGGATTTCATACATTTTATGGAGAAAAAAGTAACGTAACTAGTAATGTAACTAATTACTAATTACTTTTGAAATAAAGTAATCAGAACAGTAACGTGATTACTTTTAAAAGGAGTAATCAGTAATTTGATTAAATTTTCAGAGTAACTTGCCCAACACTGCCCCCCCCCATTCAAACACACTAGCAGACACATTTCATTTAATGTGACAGTCAGTTGTATACGTTTTTGATCAATGCAAAAACATCAGACTGCAAACAATTAGCTGCAACTTGCAACTATTGATTTTTTCCCAACAACAGGTTCCACTTTTTTCCTAACCCTGCTGAACAAATAACAGCATAACATTTTATTCTGTTAATGTAAATATCAAACAAATCTATCCATTTCACTTATTACCTTAAAAACGTGTAACAACATGCAAGGGTTCACAAGAACAGACTTTTCTTTTCAGGCTCTGCTTTTTAACTGATGAACAAACGACAGGAGCAAATTAAAATCTATTAACATGAATATCATTTAATCAGAGAATTAATGCATTATTGTGTTTTTTGTTTTGTATTCTAAAAACTAAAAAACATACATACAGTTAAAACACAACAATAACCATTGCATAATAACTATTTGAATATTTTAAGTTATACGTGTTTTTTTCATGCCTTTTCTTGTGTTCCTGGTTGAATTAAGCCCTTATTTAATTGTTAAAGGCTATTTAATGTGAACTCTGGGCCTGCATATCTAGGGCTAGATTGGATATTAGGCATGATTTTCGTGACAGGCAGACGAAAGTCATTGTGCACTTCCAGCTTGTTGTGTGCCTTCATTTTGATGATTTTTGGATTTTTGGAGCTAAAAGCAGTCTCGGACAGGTATGTTGTGGCGAATGGCAGGATGAGTCTGGTTGTAGCATGGTGCGCAAGCTTGGGTGCGACATTGGGTCCTTTCCCCAGCCAGAACCGTTTGTACCCGTGTTCGGTAAAGAATCTCCTCAGAAGAGAATTAGACTTGATATCCAAGAGCTCATCCTCCACTTCTAAATACTCCACATCCACCTCCTTTGCGGTGAATGGATCCATTACCCATGCGCATTTGGTGACAAGTTCATCAAAATCCGAAAATCATGATTTCATCTCCTCCTGTAGCCGTTCCATGGGACGTGTGAACTCTTTGCTCAAGGATTCAGGTAAATTTCCCCCAGTCTGTTTGAGAAGTGATGGAAATTGGGTGTAGGTCTCGTTTTATCCGTTTATTCTTCCTGAAGTCCACTTTATGCACAAATGCGTCAATAATTTCCTTGCATTCCAGCACATTTGCATCCGCGCTCTGCATGCGCTTGTTTGTTTCATTATAGAGGCTGAAAATATTTGCCAGGTATGATGTTCTGATGAGAAATTAATCTGTCATTTCGTCAAACAGTTTCTGGTTGTTCAGTTTCAGGAACTCCTTTATTTTTTTTTTCAGTTCAATAAAACGAACCAACACTTGGCCTCTTGATAGTCAAGCGCACTTCGGTATGAAGGAGGAGTGTCTGATGCACCTCATCAACCAACACTTGACCTCTTGATAGCCAGCGCACTTCGGTATGAAGGAGGAGTGTCTAATGCACCTCATCTTCACACAGCTCCGCAAAGATTCGCTTGTTTACCGGACGGGCTTTAATAAAGTTAACGATCTTTACAACTGTCTTCAGCGTTTCATTAAGTTCATCAGAGAGGTGTTTGCTGGC